CCCTTCAGGGCTCCCCAAAAGGCAGCACACTTGGCTAACACACCTCCACTCATTTAGCAAACACTAATTGAGCACCAATTATGCCCCAGACACCACACTACCCACTGGGGACAATACGGTACTGCCCAGGGAGATGAACTGCCTCCCCTGTGGAGCTCACACTCATGGGGGACACTGACTGCATAAACCCGAGTCAGCCAGTGACCACACACGCCCTGCAGTCCCAGCGAAGCCAGGTGTTCTCCCCACAGTGCCTTCTCTCAGCCTCTGGCTCCCTCTCCTGGGCCTAGAAACGAGCAGGAAGATACACCAAATGTGACTGTCCATAGCAGCCTTCCCCTGGTGGCTCAGGGATCCTTCAAGTTGCAAGGACTTCTTTTTTAAGGACTCTGAGCAAGAGGACTGGTTCTGCAGGTCCTTGCAGAGTGGTAAGTCTGTCATCTGAGAGGCTAGAAAGTGACCAGCTTAGGGACTCCAGCGTGGGTCAGGGTGGTCAGCTATAAAGAGCCAGGGGGCAGGGGAAGAGGGAATGAGCATGCGCATGCATGCTCACATTTACTGCATATGTCCACGCGGATGTCTATGTGTGCCCACAGACGATGCATCTGGTCCTTACATTGTCTGGATAACAAACACGTGTGCTAGTGTGAGTGCAGACATCTCTGAGGACCAGCCATCACCAAGGCACTGCCTGTGGCTCAGTGTTTGGGTTCACTGAGTTCAAATGTTTGTGCAGGTGGGAGGCTCAAGTTAGTAAAATTCTAGGAGCCAGAACTGAACCAGCGTGAAGACAAAGACTGCCTCCTTTACTCCATCCTCCCCAAAGAGAGCCAGGGGTGCTTTCTGAGAAGGGCAGAGTTGGAAAGGCTCTGAATAAATGTTTCTAAACTGAGTTTTGACTTGCAGCACTGACGATATCATTAATCCAAACTCTGAAACCACTCTGGCGTCCTTGCATTTAACATTTAGTCACTCAATACTCAGCATTGATGGCTCATTTTTGTATTACTTAGACCTGACTCCCCTATGTCACTATGACAACATCCCCCATCTCGCCTCTGCTTAGATATAGTTTAATACTTAAGTCTCATTTAATCACTTTCTTTATTAAGGGCAGACACTTAGAAAATAGCTTTTTAAAAGGCAAAACCCATGTCTTTAAGTAAAATTGTCTCTCCCCCAAAGATGGATGTGCATCAATACAAAGAATGGTCTCATCTGGCATCTGTTTATTTCTGGAAGGAACCTTGATTTTGCTAATACACTTCTATGCATCAGAGGAGGAAAAAGCCATCTATAAAAAGACAATTACAGAGATGCAATCAGGCAATGATGGCAGTATTCAGGCATATCTCGAAGAATATCCAGGAAAGTAAGGATTGCAGGTTTAGTTTTATGTAGCTTCTTATAAATCAATTTTTAAAGTAATTTCCTCACATCCAATGAGGTAAATTTGATTTCTGTAGCCCGTATTCATGCTCCAGAAAACAATATGCACTTTGTTCTGTAATTATATGATGCCTATTGTTTGAGCCCAGAGACATTATTTTATTTATAACAGTCAGCTTCTCCCCAGAGCCAAAATCATGGCTGGTAATGAGTGAGGTGCACCAAGTAGAGCCAGAACACATCCAGCAGCCCCACACATCCTTGAGGCACTGACACACACCCCTCAGTACCTGAGTGATCACGGAGAGGTTCAATGACTTTGTTAGGGACTCACCAAACATCACCCATCACTCGTCGAGTCTGGGATGGGCTGGCCTGCATGGGCTCTCCCATCTCTGCCTGCTGCTCTGAGTGGAGCTCTCCCGTCAGTCATTTGCAGCATGCCCTGGCCCAAGGAGTTCAGCCTGGAGGAGACAGGGTGGTCAGGCAGGGGACGAGACTGAGACCAGATCTCTGCCTTCCAGCTAGCCACCTAGTTTTGACCCCAGGTGACCTGCAACATTTGGGTGGATGGGCAAGCAGGAGGTGGGTGCCTCAGTGGTCAGCCTCGAAGAAGCAGAACACAGCCCCTGCAGAAAGCCTAGCTCAGCATCTTGTACAATCTGCTCAATGAATAGCTACTGAAGGCCAACTCTGTGCTGGGTCCTGTGCTAGGTGCTGGCGACACAGCAGTGAGCTACGTGCCCAGAGCCCCTGCCCTCCTGCTGGAGCTCAAATTCCTGTCGGGGGAGACAGACTGCAAGCAAGGCAAATATAGTGGACAGTGTGCTGGATGACAGCAAGTGCCAGGAAGAGAGATGGGAGTTAGGGGTGCGGGTCACAGGGCGCCAGATAACATCTGAGCAGACTTGGAGGAGAGCAACCCAGACTGGTAGCCTTTCGGGTGGAGGGGGCAGGATGCCTGGCATGATGGAGCAGAAGCAAGGGCAATAGTCCTGGAGTGGAATGAGCACAGGAGCGTGGAAAGAGGTGGGTGGGAGAGGGGATGGCAGATCACCCCTGCAGGCCCTCTAGGGCTGTGGCTCTGGGAGAGGAGGGGTGGGGTCTGACTGCAGTGGGCAGAGGGAAGATGGTGCCTTGGCCCCTGGGGAAAGCAATGGAGGTGGTAAGAGAAGGTCCGACTCTGAACATGCCGTGAAGGAGACAGGGCGCTGGGCTTCTGTTCAGTGTTATGGTTTTCAGGGAGTTTTCTGAGGATTAAACAAGGCAGTACATGTCGAGTGTCCTGACACAGTTAGCTCTCAAAGACTGTGGCATCACCTGCACTTGGTCCGTGGGAACCTCAGCCTTGCGGCACGTCTCAGCCTGAGGAATGCTGAGGTCCCTATGACCACACCCCCCCATTGAGGTGACAACAAGAGCGGGGGATGCCGGAACCTGAGACTGGCTTCGAGGGCCCTCCTGTGGGGAAGGGCCGTGAATGTGAAGGCTCGGGAGGGGAAACGGCAGAGCCGCCAGGACCAGCCTCCCTGTGAGCAACTCGGGTGCTGCCCTTTGGGGCTCCTGAGGCACTTCGGGGCTTCCCCTAGCTTCCCAGCCCTCTTTCAAGATGCCATCCTGCCACTGAGATTCTGGCAAAATATGTTTTCTTCCATACTTAGGTTTTGACGCAGGAAACAGTTTCGACTAGAAATAAGTCAGCCCCAGAATTGACTAACCATTAACTTTTCATAAGCAACTCAGGTATGAACCCTTTATGACTCTGTTATGACGTGGGACAAATCAGCCATCTGATGTTTTATTTTTATTATTGAAGCTTTCCCAGAGTGATAGGAATGGGCCTTTTTCAAGCAGAACAATGTTTCAGAGAAAACTCCCAGGATTCCATCAGCCCTCTCTAATATTTCGCTCCACTGGGAGCGCTGTTGGGCATTTTTCCCAACACCGAAAGCAGACTGCATGTGTCCACTCTCCACTCTCCACCTTGGCCCTGACCCAGGCCTCTCTCGGGGCCCACAGCACTTCACTGGGGCACTCAGCCAGAGAGCACCTTTAAAGGGCTAATAAGGGCTGTGACTAGGCCCCCTGGAGTGTGAGCAAGGCAGAGGGTCAGCATTTCGGGGAGCAGGACAAGGACCCGGAGCTTCCCTGTAGCTGCACTTGTGCCCCACTGACTGGTGGCCTTCCCTCCCTCCTGCCACCAGATTGCCGGGGCAATGGCAAGAGGGATGGTTTGGTGTTGGCTCAGGGGGTCAAGAGGAGTTCTGCATCTGCCATTAATAATAACAAGAGGAGTAACACCCGCCACATGTGTCACACTGCCCGCGTTGGAAAACGTGCTCATGGACGCTCTGTTGCCAGGTCTGTCCATAACTTACAGGTGCAGGAGCCAGTGCCCAAGGAACGAGGGGACATTCAGTCGGTGACAGAGTTCAAGATAAAACCTGAGTCCTCTGAGTCCCCATCACCTTGCAGTCGACATTGCACAGCCGTCTCTCGCTAGTGAGCCAAGCCCTCCCCTGCCTCCTCAGATCCGATCAGCACACCTCAAAGATGTTTGGTAGCTAAAGCCAAACCTGATGGGGGGTCCCCCTGAAACACTGGGGAATTCCATCCCCCAGCATGTCTGCGTTGGGCCTGGACAGAGCCAGCATTGTGCGTGGTTCTGCTAAAGAGCCACAGCTGACAGGCCCTGGGGAGGGGCAGTGCTTCGTGCCCAAGTACTCACCAGGGGCCTCTGACCAGCAAACCACATCCCCCCATCCCTCCCCTATGCACTGGCCCCATAGGCACTTGCTCTGTAAGCAGCAGAGATCACAGGGACAAGGCTTAATGAGCCATTTCCCACAGAACCCTGACGCACACACATCAGCCCCTCCTGGCTCTCTTTGATGCCCTGCCTTGGGTTTTTGTTTGCTCCATTTTCCTGAGTTTTATATCCCTTCTCATGGGTGATCCAGATCTCTGCAAGCTACCTGAATTCATTTTGATATCAGGGTGGAATCTAAATCCTTAGTAAGCGAACTACAGCTCACAGGCCAAATCCGGCCCACTGCCTACTTTTGTAAATAACATTTCATTGGAATATAGTGACACTGGTTAATTTCTGTATTGTTATGGCTAGTTTCATGCTGCAAGGCAGATCTGAGAAGTTGACAGAATCCCTGTGGCCCAGGAAGCCAAAAAAAATTACTATCTGGCCCTTTAAGAAAAAGTTTGCCGATGCTAAACAGGGCGCCCATCATGCTCAGAGCTTTCCAGCAGGTGGGCAGGAGCCCAGGAAACCAGCCAATAAATAGAAGAGGTGAGCCCAGTCCGTAGAAATTGAGAGGGAGCTTGTTGGGGAAGGTGGTCAGTGCGGCCTCGCCAAGAAGATGAACAAGGCCCAAGTGGGTGTACAGGGCCCGGGCAGGCGACGTGGAAGAGAGGGACTCCGTGCTCCTAGGTCCTGCACGACCCTACAGGCAGCTGTGGCCGAGCAAGGGGCCAGGCAGGAAGGAAGTGTCTCACAGCTGCAGCATTTCTGTTTTCCTGGAAAACCAAGAGACCTGCCTATTCTTCCCAAGCTACTCAGTAGAGGCCAACCTTGTTGTCTGCCTTGTCCCGTGCAGGACTTCGGAGAGGACGACTCCTTGTATATCACCAAGGTGACCACCATCCACATGGGCAATTACACCTGCCACGCCTCCGGCCACGAGAAGCTGTTCCAGACCCACGTCCTGCAGGTGAATGGTTAGTAAATGGCTCCATGCACATCGTCCCCTCAAAGTGTCCCCAAAATGCTGCTCAGAACAACCCTCCCCCTTCCCTGTAGTCTGTCTTATTAAAGAAGTATCTGACCCCAAACTGCTCCATCCTTTTCATAAGTAAAGGGGAGCAGTGGGGAAAGGGTGACGTCTGCCAACTAAGTTCCATGTTTGGCTTCACCCAGTGTCCCCTCTGATGAATCCTGGTACAAGGGGGTGAGTCACTTAGGCAAGTCACACTCAGCAGCTGATGCTGAAGCAGTGTGCCCTATAGGCGACATGGCAGCAATGGCGAGCTGCTATGATCTTGGCTCCAGTGAGAAGCGGAACTAAAACCCACCATTCAGTTTCCAGGTGGTACGGACACGTGTCACTTGTGCAATTGGGAGACACTGTTTCCTCCAAAAGAGGCTGGTTCCCATCTCCCTCCCTAAGGGGCTCAGCGAGCCTCTGCTGGGGCCAAGCCAAGCCTGAACCTAAGCAGGTTTAGGAGGCTCTCTGTGCTTCCCACAGGCCCCTATGTTGCCAGGATTCCCAAGAACTGGGAAGAAATAACCCCTCCTGGTGACAGTATCGCCAATTACAGCAGCCTGTGTTCTCAGCACTCACTGTAGCCAGTCCTGTGTTTACACGGCGTTGCGTGGACTCTTCCAGTTGGCGTGTTTTAACCCGCCTTGTGAATGAGTCTCTGGGTAAGGTCACTTGCCTGGGGTTGCAGCACTGGCAGGTGTTGCTCTAGACCCACGACCCAGTGCCCTAAGCTGGCCACTCCAGCCATCAGAACAAACAAGCCATTGTCTCTCCACAGTGCATGGCAGATCAGCACTGGGGTTGCAGCACTGGCAGGTTTTGCTCTAGACCCACGACCCAGTGCCCATTGTCTCTCCACAGTGCATGGCAGATCAGCACCCCAGGGAAATCAGACTCGGCCAGCCAAGCCCAGCTGGGCCTCATTTTGATCATCTACCAGGCTGAGCAGGTGTTTACACATCAGGGAATAGTGTGGAAGCTCCTCTTAGCCCCAGAGCCTTTGAGCCAGCTGGTGTTCAGGGCTTCTGCTCTGAGATTAAGTGAGCAAGGTGTCAAAAATGAGGCTCAATTTTGCTTACCTCTGGCATCCAGGGTGACAAGCCATTTAAGGACAACTGGGTGAGCTCGGCTTGTCTGTGCATTCACCCTAAGGGATGTTTTAGGGATTTTTATACTTATACGTACTAAGCCATATTTTATTATTTCCTTTGAGCTGGGATATACTTAATCCTTTGGAGTTTCATGGTTGTGCTTGTTGGCTTGAAGCCAGGCCTACAATGAGGTCTCTGGATTTCACCAGCAATAACCCAGGGGTTTTTAGTTAGAACTCCCTCTGGGTGAGCCACCCAGGCTGAGATTCAGAGGCCAGTGTAGTGTGCAGCCGACAGGCAGTGTCCAGGGGCCACTCCAGGGGCGGGACATGTGCTCTGCAGTGTGAAGAGGGCTTTACCATCTAAAACTAGCAAAGGCTAGCCGGCAACAGGCAGTATTTGAGAATGTTTGGTTGAACTCCACGTGGTTTGCCCCGGAGCCCTCAGGCCCTCAAACAAAGCCAGAAATGGGAAATACTTAATGTTCCCAGGCACTCAGTTCAACCCTTCATATCCTGCTCACCCTTCACATGACTTGCCCCTCTATTTCTTCCAAAGCAAGTCTGTGAGGAGGGGAAGGGAGCCACCTTCTGAGAAATGCACAGGTGAGAGCCTGTACAGGTGAGCCTGGGCTTCTGGAGGAGACTCTGTGATCTTAAATGCCTTAGTACATTAAGTGGCAAGTCCATGGTGCTCAGAGGGCCCTCTGCCCTGATTTCTGCCAGAACTCTGGGGCTGAGCTCATGATGTGGATGAGCTAATTCCTCCCAGTGCCAAATCCAGGCCCATAATCACCCTGAGGTGCTGCTGGGCTCAGAGTAGAAAATAGGCCCCGCCTATACAGCTGGCACTGAATTCTATTCCAGCCTTCCCTCCACCCTCCACCCTCCCCTCTTTCTCCCTCCTCCTCCCCCCATTGGCCCAGCAATGGCTCAATCTACACTGAAGAGCTGCTCTTGGCCCTGGGGGAGTCTAAACAGAGCAAAACCTTCCCACTGAGATTTAAACAGAGGCCATTTGAGATCCATTTCCTAATTGCTTAGAGATTTCAGACTTCTCTTCCAGCTAAAGTACTATCAATAGAGTTAGAGGAAACACACTGGGACCTCTTTATTTTCTACCTCATTAAATCAGCTCACTATGCTTGGCTCAGTGACAGCTGAACTAAGCCATTCAGGTGACCCTAGCTCCATAAGCCCCTGAAGTCCCTGGGCTGGGCTGACTCCCAGGCACTTGGGGCTGGCATTTGGATCCATTAAGCAGCTCCCTCATGGGACCATTATGCTAATATAAGCCTGATGTCGCCTGCTGACCTGGGAACAAGATGGGAGGTGTTCAAAGTATTCCAGAAGTTCAGCTTGCTGCGTTGGACTGAGAGGGAAACGAGTCGAATCTGTGGGAAGATGGTGATGCAGGACACGCAAAGTTCCCTGAGTGGACATTTTTAATTCTCTTGCCTCCTCCCTACCTTAATAGGAAGATGTCGTTGAAACTAGAATGGTCTGAAAGAAACAATTGCAATAGGAACGCTCACTGAATTCGTGCCATGCATCATCTCTGTTTCAGATGAGGAGCCTGGGTCTCAGAGAGCAAGTGGTTTTCCCAGGACCCCCAGCCCTATAATTAGTAACTGCAGGACAGAGCTTAACGCCAAAGCCCAGGCTCTTGACCCCTGCCCTCCCCTCTTGCTGGGGCATGGTGTTGTTGCTATTGGAGAATCCAGATGTGGGATGCAAGGGCAGTCAGCGGGTCATGTCAAGCTGCTGTGGGCTGCACACTATGGGGCACAGGGCACAGGAACCCTGCCTTGTTTATCTCTTTCCTGGGTTCAACTCAGACCTGATCAGAAGCAGCTGGCCTATTGAGAATCTGAGGGAAAACCCACAGCAGTGATCATAAAGCCCAGCGCCTGCTCTTGGCAAGAATGGTGAGCTGTGTGGCTTGGTGTCATCCAGCCCCAGGCGGGGCTCAACAGGTGACTGCACAGACTCCCAGTGCTACTCTGGCTCCCAGGAGGCTGAGTCATTGCGGAAGGCTCACAGAGGCAATGGGCATGGGGAGCTTTGCAGGCTGCAACATGGTGCCAAAGGGCGTAACTTCTTGGTAGGAAGACTTAGGAGGCCGAGGAGGCACTGCTGGTGCTCACACTGCCTTCCTGCCTTCCTAAGGAGTCGCATGAGGAAGGAGTGAGAAGGCAGTAACAAATTCATCTGGGGTATTTGTTCCTTTCCATCCATCACAAGCATGAGTCAAAAGCATGAAACATGGCCCTGAGCAGCTTGAGTAGAAGTCGGTGCACTTGCCCAGCATAGTCGTTGGAGGTCCCTTTGGTCCCCTCTTGGCATGGCAGATGGTCTGTGGCTTACTGAGCTGAAGCAGTGGCCTGGACGTGTAGATGGGGCGATAGTCTGGTCCTCCAGCTAGCTTCTCCTCGGAGGAAAAACAGGAAGGGGAGAATGCTGGAGGGAGGAGAGGGGAGGGTCCAGAAGACTCCGAGTGAATGGCAGATGTGCTCAGGCATTAATGCGTGGCTTGTGGTCCAAGAGACAGAGACCACTCCTGGGAACAGGAGCTGGGCTAGAGCTGTTCCATCTGAGGCACAGGGCAGACCCAAGCTGGCAACACCTCTGTCAAATGGTCAAGAATGAACTCTGAGCCAGACAGGCCTGGGTTCAAGTCCTGATGCCGGTACCTTCTTAAGGCAAGTAAACTCACCTGTAAAGTGGGAATAACAATAGCACTTCCTGCCTTACGAGGTGGGACAGATATGGGGGAGATTTTGGTTTGTCTCAAGCAATATTTAACTGTGGTTGGTGGACACAGGTCGCCTGAGCTGGTGACCTCTCAGAGAGCCTCCGGATAGGAAAGTCAAGACCCAGAGAAATTTATTAAACCAGGAATAAAATGGAGACTTTTTCTCCCTGGAACTGCCCCAGTCCCTGGTGGCAGGAGCGGGACCCCGTACACAGGCTGGGCCACCATCTCCTGAAGCTTCTCCATTCGTGACTCTGCCTTGACTCTGCCTTGGTGGCTAAAGGAAACCCTTGCAGGCAACTACTACCTCTCTTGAATTATTGGTCTAACGCCCCCACAGACCAGGCCTCCCAGAGATGAGGCCCAAATACTGACATGATTTATAACTTCATGCAAACCTCCTGCATTGCTCTCATAGGAAGGGACGATAACTTTGGCATAAATGATTAATCCATTAAATTAAAAACACCCTCGACCTCCCCATAGTTCAGACAAGTAGTGATTCATCCCCCAAAACAATAATCATCTCCTGGATCTGTTTATTACTCCAGCTGGTAATTCTGTGAATGTGCCTCTTACTTAGGACATATTTATGCTGCCTGGCACCTCAGAAGTGATCGATGTTTCCCAAAGAGAATGTTATGTATTCAAACATTTTCAGTGGAAGGTTTTGCAAAAAAAAAAAAAAAAGGGGTTTACGTAGGATATATTAATTTCAAATGAATTTTAGTGTGAGGATTACACAAAAACATAGGGGAAATCAGAGCCAAAGAAAAGCAGTTGCATCTTTGCCTTGTTGCTGGCAGACAGCTGTGTCTCCACCCGTTTCCCCCACCCCTTCCACCAGGGCAGGTAGACGCTTTACCTGCCCGGGGTTCCCCTCAGGCTCTCCCTGTCCTGACAGGAGGCTGGGTCTAGACCCCTGGTTCCAATAGGAGCTGTAGCTTCTACACCAAGTAAGCGGGTGCTCCCTGAGCCTGGGGCCTGTTCTACCTCACTGTAGGCTCAATGGTGCCGCATCACACACAGAGGGGACAGTTGGGTCCTGGAGGCAGTGGGTGAGCTCCTGCCCAACTGCTGGGGTGACTTGGTTTTTATTTTAACTTCCTTG